TGGTGATGTTGATGATAATGCTGTTGGTGATGAGGGGTCGTATGATGATGCTGATGATGGTGGTCCAGTTGGTAATGGTGTTCATGGTGATTATGCCGTTGATGATGATGTTGATGCTGACGCTGATGATGATGTTGCTGCTGCTGATGATGATGATGATGGTGATGATAGTATTGATGGTATTGCTGACGATGGTGGTGACGATGATGATGATGATGATGCTGATGATGCTGATGATGATGATGATGATGATGATGATGCGGGTGCTGGTTATGATGCTGATGCCGGTGCCGGTGCCGATGCTACTGATGATGTTGCCGTTGTTGAGGACCAGGGTTATAATGAAACATAATAAGAATATTCATAATGATACGACGAGGAAGCAACAGAAGATTTGGAATTCGAGCTAAACCTAAGACAATTAAGAGGAACACGAATACGAATAGTAACGCTATTAATATAACAACATTCAGGCATAACATAACTACTACCATGCGTACGTTTACTGGTAATAATAATCGTATCATTAACACTCATACGAAAAAACACAATACAAGTAAGACTTGTACTACTGATAATAATGAGCAGTGGAGGAGGAGGAGGAGGATCAAGAGGTTGAGGAGGAGGAGGAAGAGGAGGAGGAGGAGGAGGAAAAGGAGGAAGAGCATCATGAGGGATGAGTAGGAGCAGGAGGAGGAGGAGGAGTAATAGGAGGAGGAAGGATAGTTGAGGAGTGGAGTGGGATGATCAGCAGGAGGAGGAGGAGGAGGAGGAGGAGAAAGGCAAGCAGGAGGAGGAGGACGAGAAAGGCGAGCAGAAGAAGGATGAGCTTGGCTGGAAACATCTCACGTACATTCTGGTTAACCCTGCTTGGGAGGAGGGGCAGGAGGCGGAGGAGGAGGAGGAGGAGGAGGAGGAAGAGCAAGATGAGGAGGAGCAGGAGGAGGAGGAGGAGGAGGAGGAATAGGAGAAGGAAGGGTAATTGAGAAGTGGGATGATCAGGAGGAGGAGAAACGCGAGCAGGAGGAGGTGGAGGAGAATAATAAAGGCGAGCAGAAGAAGGATGGGCTTGGTTGAACACATCTCACTTAAATTCAGGTTAACCCTGGTAGGGAGGAGGAGGAGGAGGAGGAGGAGGAGGAGGAGGAGGGGTGGGATGAGGAGGAGTAGGAGGAGGCGCAGGATTTGGAGGGTAGAGGAAGAGGAGGGGAAGAGGAGGTGGGGAGGAGGAGGAACAGGATGATGAGGAGGAGGAGGAGGAGAAGATGGGGAGAAGGCGATGGTGACAATGACGACGGTGATTCAAACATAAATGCATTTGTAGGCCTCTTGCAGGCCTCTTGGAACCTTCTTGGGATCTTTTTGGGGGCATTTTGGGGGGCTTCTGAGCCGTCTGATGGGCGTCTTGGGGCCCTCTTGGAGGCCTCTTTCGGCCCGTTTTGGATGGCATCTATCGAAGAACAGGGGGCCCCCGGTTGCGCCTGCCCCCGTCTACGAACCCAGCGCGATCCTATTCATGTTGGGGAAGCCTTTCGAGGTGAGTAGCTAGACAAGGATGCGATGCTTGGCGTTCCGTTGCTTCTCTCTGCTTTGCATTGCTCGACATTGTTTTGCATTCCTGCGCACTGCCGTGCATTGCGGTGCCTTGGTTCCTTGGTTTTGGTTCCTTCGTTCCTTGGTCTTCGTTCCTTGGTTCCTTGGTCGTGGTTCCTTGGCTCCTTAGGCTTAGTTCCCTGGAGCCCAGACCAAGGAGCCGATGAACCAGGACCAAGGAGCCAAGGAGCCGAGGCCAAGGAGCCAACGAGCCAAGGCCAAGGAACTAAAGAACCAAGACCAAAGAACCAAGGAACCAAGGAACCAAGACCAAGGAACCGAGGAACCAAGGAACCAAGACCAAGGAACCAAGACCAAGGAACCAAGACCAAGGACGAGTACCAGCAATCCAAGGAACCAAGACCAAGGAGCCGAGGAGCCAAGACCAGGGAGCCGAGGAGCTGCGGCCAGGGAACCAAGGATTAAAAGCCAATAAGAAACCCAGACCAGGGAAGCGAGGAACCAAGGCCATGGAACCAAGGAACCAAGACCTGGCAGCCACGCAACCCAGACCAAGGAGCCAAGGGAACCCAGGCA